AAAAAAAAAAAAAAAAAGATTTGATTCAGAGAACTGAAAAATTGAAAAGTAAAGTTAAATACGAGTTTATTTTCATAGGTACTGAAAAGTACACAGACACAAATTTTTAGGTTCATGTTAAAAAAAAAAAGTAACTGCCCCTAAATAAAGTTTTACATATAAACCTAAGATCGAAAAAGAAGATTTGCAGTATACCACTTCAATAAAATTGAAATAAAAAGCGGAGTGCAAAAGGCAGAGGAAAAAAATTGTACATCAGCAGTATAATAAGCCAGAGACAGAAGCTGTAGACAGGACAGACAATGGCAATGCTTCTACATTGTGGACGGTAGAACGGCTGTCAAACCAGTGTAAAATATGAGAAAATGCAGTTACAACAGTGTTAGCTGTGGAATAAAACTGTTTTATCAAACAATATTCTACTTTAAAATTAAGACTGATCCTTGTTGGCTTCCATACGGAATAAGTCACTGGGTTAAACCTATGGGCATACAGGTAGGAGGGAAGTACTGCCAATAGTGGTTTCCAGGACCAGGACTGTCCTTGGAAACTTTGTTATAACTGAACAACTCCCAGGACCCCATTCCCATGTGATTCACTAACCTCTGCTCTACAGCACAGAAAGCATCTACAGGCAGATGGTAATACTCATACAATTGGGCAAGCCACCTGGATCACACAGATGGCAAAGAGTAGCCCCGATCCTTCAAAAGATCTTTGTAATTACTGTTTAGAAGATTACTCACCAGGTAAGCTCAACCTTTCCTTAAAATCTAATAGGTTATCTAAACCACATTTGTCCTCAGCTGTCATTAATATGATCAGAATTAAACCACATTCTGTGATTTGCCACTAAAGATAACCTCATCAGCCAAAGGTGGACAAACCCTTAAAAACAAATATCAAATACACAGCAAATACCTGAAGCAGTCCTCATTTCAGGGAATAATCATTTTCTTTTATTTATTTATTATTTATTTATTTTTTTGAGACAGTCTCACTATGTCACTCTCAGTAGAGTGTTGTGGAATCACAGCTCACAGCAACATCACAACTCTTGGGCTTAAGCAATTCTCTTGTCTCACCCTCCCAAGTAGCTGGGAATACGGGCACCTGCCACAAAGCCTAGTGATTTGTTGTTGTTGTTGTTGTCACTGTTATTTTTAGCAGGCCTGGGCCGGGTTCAAACCTGCCAGCCCCAGGTGTATGTGGCCAGCACCCACCCACTGAGTGATGGTTTTCTTTTAAATAATGATGACGGATGAGAAAATACCATCCTGCCTCCTCGTAGTACCAGAAGAAAGTAAAAAGCTAAAGCACCGGACTCCAGAACGTACTGCTACAGTGGTGCATAGAGAAGCAGGAGAAATGAGCACCCTTAGTCTCTAGTCCTCCAACAGACAAGGCCAGGACTGCAGCAGGGGAGCAGAGCGGCACTCTCCAGAGACCTGTGTGCAGGGCAGAGCAGACTGGGGCAGCATACACTGAAGCAAGTAAGCTAGCTCCTGCCCCTCTGTCTCCTGACAGATGGCTAAGGCTTTTTCCCAGAGATTCAGGACAGCTATAGATAGGTTCTGTGTACATAAACAGGTTTTATCAAAAGGAGATTAATTAAGAAACATTTTCATATCTTGGTACAGTATGAAGTCAAAGCACTTAGAGGTGATACAAAAGTATCCAAGATGAAAACTAAGTTGCAAATTTTCATGATATGTATTAAAACAGTGTCTGGAATAGCTTCAAAAGACCTAAAATGTAACTGAGCCCCAGTAATATAAACTAATGATAGATCTCTGAGCTGTCAGAGGGCAAATCAGCAACTTGAAGGCTGACCGGCAAATAAATACACTCTCAGAAGAGAGAGAGATGTATCACGTGGGGCTCAGAGACACAGAATACCCTACCTCAAGAGCACCCAAATACTTAAAATACAGATGGTGCCAAGTACAACATAAAAATATTTTATACAATAAATCATCAAAAATTTGAAGCATGCAACTTCACTTACATCTACATTTTTTATATTTCCCAAAGGTTTGCTTTCACCCCTACCATTAGAAGCTCTTAAGTGGGAAAATATAAAAAGCATGAAGGCACATGAAATTGGTCTTAGGGCTACTCTGAAAGTAGAGAATAATTTGGTCTGAGGAATCTGGAATTAGAGAATTTGAGCAACTAGCTACAGTTTTGGGTTGTTGTTGTTGTTGTTGTTTGTTCGTTCATTTTTGAGACAGAGTCCCACTTGGTTACCCTGGGTAAAGTGCTGTGACATCATAGCTCACAGCAACCTCAACTCTTGGACTCTAGCACTCCTCTTGCCTCAGCATCCCAAGTAGCTGGGACTACAGGTGCCCACTACAGCATCTAGCTAATTTTTCAGTTTTTAGTGGAGATAAGGTCTCACTCTTGCTCAGGATGGTCTTGAACTCCTGAGCTCAAGCAACCTACCCAACTTGGCCTCCTGAAGTGCTAGGATTACAGGTGTGAGCCACCATGCCTGGCCTACCACACAGTTCTTAAATGAATCTAATCCAGGTCATCAGGTTCTCTCTCAAACTACACTGCCTTTTCAGAAAAAAGGTCTTCCTATTGGGACCAGAGGACTCAGAGGTTAAATAGCTAATACTAACTAAAAATAGGGTGACTAACTCACATGAGCCTTTATCCAAGTTAGTCTCCTAGTAATTTGCTGAAAATTAAAACTTCATGCATTTATTTTCTAATGATCTCTATGAGACACAACATTTTAAAGCAAGACTAAAACACCAATCTATCTTTTACTTCTCCAGTTCACAAGAAGTTAATTAGTCTTTTAAAACTGTGCACAAGAATGCTCTTAAAACACTTTTTAGTACTTGGTTTCAGATGATCTGAACAGGCTAAGTAAAATGCTGCTCAACTGAACACAAAAGAGACACAATTCTTACTGCAGAAGAATTATGGACTTCCTTCCTTTCCATCCTAGAATGAGTAATTGAATATAAAGCAACTGGCCTTAGCTGATAGTCTCTGGCTAAAGAAAGGAAATTTCACCAGGGCCCCTTCACTGGGGCCAGAAGGCAATCAGATTCATATTGTATCTGTAAGTTACTTAATTATCTAACACTGAAAGTAGAAAGAAAAAGAAAAAAGAAGTACATTTCTAAATTATGAATGCCCATAAAATGAATCTGTGAATACGTCTCTTTTACATATAGCCTATGAATATATCTAATTCTAATTAAGCCTAAAAAAAGAGGCTGTTTAAGACAAACTCTTAACATTAAATTTCAAAATCTACTGTTAGAGGCCTTGAGAGAACTAAAAAGCAGTAGTAGCTAACAGTTTTTAAGTAATTGTCCATCAATAATTTAGAGTATGTACAAATTGATTAAATAATGGCAATACAACTAATTGCTGTTATATAACCCAAAGCTTCAAGTTAAAGGGGGAAAGAGTTCTACAGTGACACCTACTGGTTAAGGGTAGTATAACAGCAGGACAGACAGGCAGAAAAGACGCTAGAAGATTACAGGGAAGGAGTGGGTGACACTTGAAAGGGAAAAGCTAAACAAATAAGACACATTATCAGTGTCTAGAAAATCAGGTCAAAAGGATATCATGACCCTTCACCAAAAATTTTCAGATCAACGAATTTGAAAAAGCTTCTTCTGGCCCCAACTAGCCATGCAAATTCAATTGTATATGCAAATTAAAGGTAAGATACCTAATTTATTCATGTTTCTTTTACATTATAATGAATAAAACTAAAAAAGGTAAAATTGAACTCTGTAGAAAAGCACTTTTCATCTCTCAGTTTAACTTTAAGAAAATAAAAAGCAGATTCTTGCTTTATGTAATAAAAGCTACGTAATATAAAACCCCAAAATTTCAGCTTCTGAATATTACTGTTCAACAAAATAACCACCTAGATCAAGGCTCTGGCCAGAAAAATCACTTTTTCTCTAAAGTGCATGCTTCAAAAGACTGAGCCCTTTTTGCCCCATACTTTTACACCAGAAGTAAAATATAATAATGTTTAATACGACCAACGTCATCAATTTCTGATTCTCAAAGTATAACATACTATAATATTTACTCTTAGTCCATGCACTTCTTCTCAAACTAAGATTTTCAAATATACCATTTAGAACACAATTTTGGTCAAAGGATATTTAACTGATGATATAACAAAAGCCCATGTTTCTTCACTAAGTGCAGTAATGCCATAGAAAGAGCCAGAAGGATACTTGATAAATCTAGTTCATCTCCTCATTCCCATGAGATCTTACATAGTAGAGAACTTAAAATTCAAGTAATATGGAAAAATAAATGATCAACTTAAAACTTGGGTTCTAGTCCTGGTTATTCCAGTAACTAGTTAAACAACCTTCAGTGAACTAGGCAATCTATTTGTGGGCATTAAGTTCCTCATCCATATGATCAAAGCAAGGAACTAAATGAGCCTCACAGTGACAACACCGCTAAAAATTCAGCTTTTATTTCTCCAGCAGATGAGAATGGTTTCCACAATGTCCATACTTCAATGACTAGACAATCAGAGCAATAAAAGACAAGTTGCCTTTATCTCATATCAGGTACATCCTGCTATAATAAAATAATATAATCATACTTTCACAATGCAAAATAACTGTTTAGGTTAGGATGATGGAAAGAAACCTGGTTTCCATTTCTAGTGCCTTCTACCTGGCACACAGTCAGAACTCAATATTTACTGAAGAAAAAAAATGGCTACGGAAAAAGTATACCTGTTACGTAACATGTAGGGCTCCACCATCGACTGTGTTTGTGGTAGCACAGTTATTGCTCTCTTTTACTTATTCTCTTTTTACATACTGTATCTATTTCAAGACATTTATGGATTCAATGTGTAAAATCTATAGCTTAAAAGGCTGTAGATCACAAATATGGACATGGCTTGTTCCAAAATGCCCAAATATGACAGCATAAATTAACTTAAGTGATAACATTTCCTAAACTTGTCACCTGCCAGTTAAAATGCTGATTCAAATATTTCTTGGGTAGAACATGATACACATTTCCCAATTTTAATTCGTACCAGAAAGTAACAGGCCACATAAAGTGACTTCCTCAGATGCCATCAGTCTTCTACTCAAAAGTACAAAGGATAAAATGGAGCAAAGAAATATTTCATTTGCAATTAGCTGCAGAAAACTTTTGAAACAATTACTACTAACGTCTTGTCCACCAGCTTTCTCTGCTTTTCACGTAAGGCTTACAATAGTCACTTCTCATTTATAAATGTTAAGGAGGGCAACCCCAGCTGTCTGAGGGTCCTACAAGTTTAAGTAACTGACAGATAAGAGCAAGTGAAAAAGGAACACAAACTTTTATTTATATCAAAGGTGAATCAATATGCTTGAACTTATCTTCAAACTTTATCTCTTTCCATTTAGAATACAAATATTAGTTCTGAGAACGAAAATCTGTAGAGTGAACTTCATTGCACGACTTTCACCATTTAAATTTATTTATTCATTCATTCACTAATGAAATATTTATTATGGGACAAGACCATTCTAGGCGTTGCGGATAAGGAATGAAGGGAAGAGAATGAGATAAACACAATACCTTGAACATAAGAACAATTTCGGATCGTGAAAAGTGCCATAATTAAAATTCTCTTTGGAGTCTGACTGTAGTTATCTGATTTATTTTCTTGACATACTGTACATAAATGCATTACATGTAGATCCCAGCAAACAAAGAGTCTCAATCATTTCAAATGAAGTTTACAATTCACATTCAGTACACGTGTCTTCCAGTTTCAATATCCTCAATATGAGTCAAAGGAAGTATGAAAGAAACCGAGAACCACTGAAATATGAGAAGAAACAGATTTAAAACATCTGTTCTCTCTCTGCTGGGTGTGCACATACAGGAGGAGAAAGGTGAATAACCAATCGACTTTTTTAAGCAAAAAGGGTAAAAATGGAGAACTGTGTCCAGTATTTTATGGCATTCCGTGATATTTTAAAGGCATCTGCAACGCATATTAAGACAGCTACATAAAAGCAAAAGCATTTAAAATAATTTCCAAAACATTAGAATCATTCCTAATTGTCTCCCCACCCCCCACCCCCCCACCTTCACCCCCGAATATATCCCCTCCTTTGAGTTGTTCTGAAAAGCTCTGTTTGGGCAGGAACTTACTTTTCCTGACTTTGGCTGATTCTCAAACAAACCAAAACATGCAAGGCAAAGAAAAATTGTCCTGTTACTCCCATCTGCAACTCGACAGAAAGCCAAGAAAGAGTGGATCAATGACCTCCATCTCGGCTGCGCCCCGCAGGTGAGGGAACTGCCGGGAAGGGGCTCAGCAACGTGGCCAGCACCAGGGTGCGGACCCCGCTCCGCCTGCCAGCAGGCCCGGGGAGCGCGGCCTCGGCCCCGCGCGGAAGGGAGGAGGGACGCGGGGGATGGAGAAGGCGCACGTCGGCACCTGGGGGCACGGACCCACAGCACCCGCCACCGCCCGCGCTCCCACCCGGAGCCCGGCCCTGGACCTCCGCCCCGCAAGGCCTCTGACCTCTCCGGGCCCCGGGGCTGCTGCTGCCTCCACTGCTGCCCGCGCTGGTGCTGCCGCTGCCGGAGCCGCTGCTGCTGCTGTTGCCGCCGCCGCCGCCGCCGCCCTTGGCGTTCTTGCGCGGGGCCATCGCACCCTCCGCGGGGGCTGCTAAGGGTTGGTGGGTTTCCTCAGTGAGCGGAGGGGACACAGCGGGCGCGGGGGCCGCTGCTGCTGCTGCTGCCGCCGCCGCCTCACACACATAGGGAAAGAGTCAACTCGCCGGCGGCGGGGGAGAAATGATAAAAGAGAGAGAGGA